ATCCCTCAGATTATTCAAGCTGAGCTTTGTTTTGCGCTGGTTTGGATTGACCTGAGTAATGTGGAAAACATGAGCTGATGCTCCTCCCCTCCACAAACACCACCCTAATATAAAACAAACTAATAATACTGTTCACAGAATTTGGTTTGGGTTATGTCCCCTTCCTGCTACACTGTCACCAAAACCAATCTGGCAAAGCCAATGACATCAAAACAACCTCCTACCTTGAGGAGTATCCTGGACACCAGAAAGGGCCAACTATAAACAAGGATGGAAGCTGGAGGAGCCAGCTGAAGGCCCCTTACTGTTTCCCCAGGCTCCCTCGGCAGCGTGGCATTGTGAGGCTCCTCCAAAGCACCAAGATTAGTCTTCTCCCCATATTTTCCCCTCCAGGGAGATGTGGTTCCCATTAGAGTCAAGAAAGCAGCAAGTAATTTATCAGGGTAAATGAGATGTCGAATGCTAGGCTGTAGAAAAGCATCACATACATTCTCCCTAACAAAAAAGGAGATTTTTTGAGTTGTGACGCCCATTTGAAAAGTCAATAAAAATGTAGCTGGAGCAGATGTTAAATGAAAAAGTGCATGCTGGAGCAGGAACTTGAGCAGCAGAACAAGTCCCTGGTGCTGAAGGCGCGCGGTTCCCAATACCCAGATCCCACGGCTCTAAAGCACAGGTGGAGCCATGCACCAGTGTGTACTAGCAAAACAGAAAGTCAGTCAATACAAGTGAGAGCATGGAGAGAATCTGGAGGTGAATTTCTAAATCTAATCAGATCTGAGATCTCCTCCAAGGGCTTTTGTCATACTCATAGCAGGCATGATTTGGTTGGCTATTATATATTCGTACGGTTCCATTCAGAACAACCTTGTTTCATTACAGCGGATTCCACTGCGCTTCACAGTCCTGCTTCATTTCTTCCAAGGCAAATTCTTCAGGAGATTAACCTGACATATTTAGTCCCCTGATAATAGATCCTGTCTTTTCTGATATCATTACCAATTTCAAGCACATAGCAAGAAACAGGCTTAAAATTTCTTAAAAGTAGTGACTTGAAAGCTTTCTTGTTCCCACATTTTCCTGGTACAACACATTTCACTTTACATGTAATGTTGTAAGATTCAGCTCAAGTAAATATAAAATAAATTATTAAGCTTCTAACCAAAAGCTTCCAGTCCTAAAAACCCTTTTTATTGAACTTGAAGTGCTCCAGTGCATGGCACAGCTCTAATTGTAGTTCAGATTTTAAGTAGCTTGAAGTGGCTATTGTTCTTTTCTCAGAGTTCAACATATTATTCTTATGCTTCATATGCACAGAAGACATTAGTGAAGATAAACTGTGCAACTGGTAATTGAAATCAGAGTTGAAACATCTATTATGGTAACATACACTGTGCCACATCTTCAACACACTGAGAATGAAAAGGCTTTTGCATATGAAGCACCAGTCGTGACACTCACTGGAACAAAAATGCATTAAGAAATGGAATGAAATACATTTACACAACATAAAATTTCCTAAAATTACTTACATTATCATTACTAGTCTTCTGCCATCTTGACAGATATAATAAGTATAGCCTCAGTTTAATTCTGAGAGATGTGTCTGAGGAAAGCACAGCTTTTTCTAAAGCTCAAAAAGTTCATGTCAAAACCCCAGTTTGCTTCTGAAAATACTGATGTCCATAATATCTACCCACCTAAACAGGAGAAACCTGCATGATCTTTGGAAGAATTATTTGAAAGCACCTTCCTAACAAAACTGCAGAAAATACCACACATTTCTTAGATTTCAAAATCAGGATTTTTTTATGAAATAAGATGTAGATAAAACTATATCGCCTTTGGAATCCAAATAACCATTAAGTGATTATAGTAGCAACAAAGCTCTAATAAAAGGGCCACCAACTGAAAGACTTATCCAGTTTAAGCTTGCTCCTGGGACCATGCCTAGCATTCCAGCTCTTTATAAATTTCTTGCAAATCAACAACTTTTTACAAGACTGTAAAATTTGCTTATTGTTATCACATCAGGAAACAAATGCTTTTCCAATATTTTAACTGATGAACACTGTAACTGCTACTTTATGTTATATTAAAAAAAGAAAAACCACCCAGATATTGCACCATGTCTGGTTGGGGTAACCAATTTTTTATGGATATCTAAAGTCCTCTGGGTGGAAGTAACAACACAGAGTATTTTATAGCAAGGGATAATTAGAAAGATGGACATGAAGATGAACTTCCTATTTCCAGGGTGCTACACACTGCATATGAAGATGATTCTAAGACATGTGACAAACCTGACTGTATCATCTGTCCAAACCTGGTGTGGCACATAAAATGGCTTGCAAATGGAAAGCAATAAAGATATTTATTTATCTCTCTACATAAAAGAAACACTTTCCTAATTTTATACCTTTACAGAAGCGCTGCTTTCATCACCAAGAATGAGTATTCTTTTTCTATCCTGTAACTTGGTACTCCTTGTACTGGCACCTTCTAACTGTGATCAGGACTAAAACAAGAACTCCTAAAAATCAGACTATAACTCTGATAAACTGAATGACCAGCTCAAAGCCTGTTATTCATATGGTGTTACTGCAGTCAATGCAGCTTACTAAATATTTAAGATATATAAAGGTAAACACGCAGGACTGGAAATCACTACACATCAAAACTAGAGATGATCTTTAAGGTCCCTTCCAACCCAAATCATCTGATTTTTTTCTCTGTAAATGGCTCGTGGAAAAATATACATCAGGTACTTCACTCATTATTCTAATGATCAATGTTCAGGGGTTTTATTATTATTAATTGCACATAAATTACCATGATTTTTGTATCCCTGGGAAAATATTTAGCCATTCACTTCTCAGAGGAACAATGCTGAACAAAGGTGATGAAAGCTCAGCATATAAGAACAATGCAGAACACGCAAATTTATGCATGCCATTTAAAAGGCATGGCATTTAGACTACTAGCAAAAAAAATCAAAAGCATGTAATAAATCTTTAATTGTAAAAAAACCCCAAACTAATGTTTGCCAAGTCCTTGATAACATTTAAGCATGAACACTGCCTACTTCAGGAGTGCAAAATCTTCTTAACTCACTTATCTGCATATACGCTCAACCTCCTCTGAAGTGTTCTGCTGCAAAATTCATTGTATCTGAGATCTGCTAATCATCATCAGGAAACTCTGTTATGCATCTTAAGGACGTACTTTAGGCTCTCAAGAGGAAAAATAAACACGTTTTATTAGCTGCTTTTGGAAAATACTGATTTGTATTTATTTAGAAACCTTTTCAAGTTGCACCACTGTTAAATTAAATATTTATGGCATGATTTTCCAAGGAGTTTAACACCTGTTAAGAGTTTAACATGCTGACTTCAACAGGATTTCCAAGGGCCCAGCATTTCTGTAAACCTCAGAAGTGACAAGGTTGGGATGTGGCAAAGCAGTTCGAGATGGATGTCACTGCTGAGCTCTGAAATGCAACCAGGATCCTGCCCGGCCCCTATTTCCCATCTAGCACTGCATTCCTGACAACAGAATTAGCCATAGTTTCCTAGAAATGCCAGAAATACCACTCATTAATACCTGTAAACTGAAAATAAAGCATAAGCAAAATGCTGTTAAATTAACCCCCAATGCATCTTCCCTGTCCTTGACTAGCGGAAAACTTAAATGCTTGGATCATACACCACCAATGAGCAGCAACTATAGAGACTAAAATCCACAGTGTGATAAGAACTGGAAAGCAAAGCTATTGATATGGAGATTGATATTGATATGGAGAGTGAGAAGTTGAACAAGGATGAAGACAAAAACAGAGAATAAAGAAGAAAGTATGTCTGATATACTGCAAAAACCTGTATCCTGGTGACAGTGGGGCCAGTGGCTTTGGCATTTGGCTTCTCACCCAAAACTGAAGCCTGTGTCTCTGGCCTTGTTGTGAAGTCAAAATAAGGGGTTAGGTTTACTAATCCTTATTTTGCTTAGCTTCTGAGAGACTTACACTTACAATCCCTCCCAGCTTCATGTCTTCAGGTATCCCACGTATCCCTTTCTTTCTTTATTTCTCACACCCTAGAGGTGGTTGCCCTCCTGCCCTTCCTGGTCCTTTACCCATTTGCAACACATGCCTAAATCTGAACTACAGTGCCAAGACATCAATTTATATTTCAGAATTAAATACCAAAATTTCCTTGTGGGGTTTGGCCTATAATTCTGGAAGCAAAAAAAATGTTATCTTTTAGGCAGTAAATAAATAACATCTAAGTAAGAAATTACTATACATCAAAATGATTCGAATGAAGATCAACGTGATTTCATAAACTTAGGACAGATAAAATAGTTGAATATTGAAGACTGGACACATCAACCTCCTTATACACTTTACAGCACACTATAAATCTGCCCAGCAAGCTGAATATTTTTCTCATTAAAACAGGAGCTTTCATGGCACTATAAAATATTTTGAATAGAGACCAGAAAACCAACAAGCATATTTACTGTAAAGCTTTATATTTGTGTCATCAATTAACACCAAAAGTTTGGAAAAAACCTAAAATAAAAGCTAATCAAAGCAGCTAGCTGTCAAAACAGATGGGAACTGTATTTTTCAAATCAAGCAAAAAGCCAAAGCTTTCGAACATTTAGTGTTGCGTCAGCTGATACAGACAACTTAAAGGAAGGACAGCAAATGTCAGGATTTTATGAAGAAAAGGTGTCCCTGACTTAATGATTCACATTTATGAATTTCCATTGATTTTTTTTTTTTTTTGGTTTCAGGATGATTAACTCCTCACCAAAGTAGACCTCTGAAAGCTGAACTATAAATAAGGTGTCGCCATGACACTGCAGGCAAAATAAATAAAAACAGAGCCCCAACATTATTTCAGCCTCAAACAAATGTTTCAGTCCCTACATTGTCTGGCTCAGAAAGATACATAGACAGTCTCACAGACAGAGATATAAATGAACAATTGCAGTACCTTTTTCCCACACTGTTTACAGGGTTGGCTATATTCCTATTGGCAATAGATTTTCTTCTTGACAGCTTCTTGGTGTTGGGGCTGTCATCAGTGTTGTCATCCTCTTTCTTTGTTGTGTTACTTCCTTTGCTGTTCAGGTCCCTTAGCACATTATAATTAATTTTACTTGAGATTTTCTTCTGTTCTAACATCTTTTCAATTGCCTCTCCTGCTGTGCTGGCTTGAATTGGCTCCCGCTTCTTTGCAGATTTCTTTGGCTTAATTAAAATATAAAATTAGTGATGTAGATACAAACAAAGTTTCCATGAAGCAGAGGGGCAAGTTACAGAGCAGCAGTCCTGGCTCAGGTGCTGCTGAGGTGGGGATGCAGGTGACATGCCCAGGCTAAGCCAGCGCTCCCTCTCCTGCCACTCAACGGGACCAAAGCATTTCTTTTCTCTGAGAGATAAATGTTTGCTTTTTTGCCAAATGCCCAGTGTATTACAAATTCTTTACTTAGGATCTGCAATGCTGCCAGAGAAGAAGGATGGGCCATTTCGCATGCATGAAAAAAAAAAAGGGGGGGGAGGAGTGAACTCCTGTTACAGGAATAGGGACCCTGATAGCATTACCCAGCATGGAAATAAAGATTTTCCCCTGCTAAAACTGCCTTTAGAGTGAAGCTGGGTCACGACTCCCCTAAGCACTGACAACTCTGCATCGAAGCTGCAACGCTGGTTTATATCAAGTCTGAAAGCGGCGTGGGAAAGCATCTACCCAACTCCTCCTCCTCACTGGAAAAGGCCAAGAACATGAGCAGCAGCTTTCTAAGCATGGACTGGCATTAACACCGACGGATAGGGAAGCAGGAGGCTGCAGACACACGGGCACTGCGGCAACGTCACCGACAAGTGCCTTTCCCAGGCACGGGCTGCGGGGGCTGACGCTGCGCAGAGCCAGGCAACGAGAAATGACACCAGAGAACATTTCCAGCCATGTCCCATGCCTGGGGAGGTACAAAAAAAAAAAAACAACCACCCCAGAATCTCTGTTTCTCATTTGGCGTTTTCCTTTTCAAAGGAAGGTTTTAACACCAAGCTCTGCAGGAGATTTATTTTTTAATGGATAATAGCCCCTCTGTTTACCTACATGGGTCAAGTGCTACCTTGAAACTGGAAAGCACCACATTAATCAAGTTCTACTCGAGCTGTCAGAAACAATACAGGGTTAGAGAAAAAACTCCTGTGTTGTCCGAACAAAAAAGTGGGTGTTCGGGCTACTTGGCGGTGCCAACGAGTTATACAATTTTGAAAATTGCTGGTAGACTGCCACGTCTGCGTGAGCTCAGGATGAATGAGAAACTCTGAAGTATAAAACAGTGTTTCATTGTCTGGTTTTGTTTTTATTGTTGAAATACCTAAGGGAAGCAGGAAACTCTGTCTTTCGCATTAGTCGGAAAAAAAGATAGAGGATATATGCACTAAAAACTAACATGGATTTTAGTTGCATGTGGACGATTTGACTTGTCACTTGCTCAATTACACAAAATACTAATGCTGTAAATCGTGAATATACGGCCAATTAGGCTGTTTAAACTGCTAAACATGGAGACAGGACATGCCATTTGTTAACATAACTGTCGCATTCTTTATGAAAGGTAGAACAAAATACTCCTTCAAGTGACTGCAACAAGGATCTGTTCAGTTCTTCATAAAGAAATCATTATTGTAAGAGCAAAGAAAGCCACTGAAGTTATGGCAAGTACAAACAAATTCCCCATGCACAGGTTAAAAAAAAAATTAGGCATGTCTTAAGACCTGTATTTTAATAAGCAAGCAATTAGAACAGCAATCATAAATGCAAAGAGCTAGCTCTGACTTTGACATGCACAGAATTTTCTCATAATAGCAATTTAAAAATAAAATTTTGGGCAAGAAAGCGTTTTACTCACCACCTGAAAAAATACAGCTTTGTAATTCAATAACAGCTAGAGATACAATAGCTTTTGCTCGTTCAGTGGTGACCTGTACCAGTATGCCCATAATCCTACAGGGAGCTGATCAGCAGATGTCATGAATTTCCAGAACATTTTCAAACAGACACAATTAACGCACAGTTTAATACCTTGTGTTCCTTATAAATCCCAAGTTCTTTCTCTTTTGCTATTCTTGCTTCCTTTTCTGAAAGATGACAAAAGGGTAACCAGCATGAAGATTATACAGACTGCATATTTCAGCAACACCAGCCAAAAGGAGAATTTCAGTCCTACATACTTACCTTTTTGTTCCTTCAAATAATCTGCATTTTCTTTCATCCACAGCTCTGCTTTTATCTGAGCTTCTGCTTCGTTAAGTATATACTAAAAGACAAAACAAGTTTATCTACTTTCAGAAATCAAATCGAAAACCATAAAGCAAAACTGAACTGAAAAACCACTGGCAAGGTCAATTCATATTCCATTTTTAAAAATACATTAATAAAAGAAATGAGTGAGATGTGACAATCAGAGAGCAGTTCTAGTAACTTCTAAAGCTGGTAAAAGCAACAACCTGTTTTTAAAAAACAGTGCTTGGTTTCCAAACTATGATGGGGTGACCAAAAACCATCCAGGATTCATTGTACATGGTCTGTAATTAACCAAAAACGATCCTGGGTTTATGATCTTTTTCAGATGATACGAGAGGTTATTATGACAATATGGTTGTCTGCAAGTAATTCTGTGTGTTGATGGTGGTCTGTAATTCAAAACAGAGTGGGAACCATTGCCCTGTGCGACCAAAACAGAAACATGTGTCTTCTGGGTAGGTTTCTGCCAAGGTTTAGGCAGAGTTACTGAGATTATTAGTTCAATGGCCACATCTGTGTGAAGGAAACCAGCTTAGATTGCTGGAGCATTAGTCCTCTAGATTTTAGAGAGTTGGGTTCAGTAACCACATCCAGGTTTATTTGCAGTTAATTCCACTTAGTCTCAGTAACATCATTAGTGAGAATGGAGCTGTAAAACGCATCTAGGACTATTCAGATGAATCACAGAAATAAATAAAGAGATAGGTAGCAATTACTTAATTGTAAATTACTTAAATGTAAAAATTAACCCAGTATTTAGCTCAAATATCAATGAAACAAAAGTCAATGCTGTTTGGGAGTGAAGAGTTTCTGCAGAACAAAGACAAATTAGGCCATCCGTCATGAACAAGACACTTTAATTTTAAGCAGTGCACCCAAGACTTGTAAAACGATGTTTAAGTGCAAGAAAACAATTTGAGATTTCTCCGTCTTTTGGGCCTGAACATTTGAGATTTTCTCCAAGTAAAATGTACATCTAGGATTTCACAAGAAAAATAACTCTAGTCAAATTAAAACTAATGCAGGCAGGAGTCCTTCCTGCAAACAAGGGAGGGCAAACAAGGTGAGCAAATGGTTGTGCAAGTCCTGGTTTATAAGACCAATATTTTTACTCTTTCATCTGCTTCTATTAAAAGTGGACCATAACAGTAAAACCCACTTCTTCCTAGCTCAGTTATTCATCCTGTTTAGGCTTTCAGAGAGTTCATAATCTTGGGCTCACAGTATTACAGTCTATTGCCATAGAAATGAACATGAAGTCATAAAAGCAGAGTTATGACCTCATCACAGAGCCTAGGAAGAGGAGAAAATGTGCTTGTTCTTCCCCTGTGATTGTTTAAATTATGGACTGGCTATAGTGGAAAACTTTAGCATTCCCACTCCCTCCATTCCGCATCCATTCCAATCATGAGACACTGAAGCCCAACCCAGCAAGCCCCACTTCACAGTTACAGTCAATTCATCACCAGCAACGTTTTAGAGACCAGTAACCCTTGTGCAACCTCATCACTCTCAATGACTTTGCACCCCAAAAGGAGTTTTTAGCATTGCCATTATCTGTTCCAATGACACTGTAAACCAGAGTGGTGGCTGGAGAGGGCGTCAGGCTCAGCATCAGGAGAGCGGGACTGTCATGTGTCCAAGCACTGACCTGCTCTGTGGCATCCAACAAGCCATTTTCTGCAGTCATGTGTCTGTCCTGCTCAGGCTAAATGGTAACGGGTGTTTTTTGCTGCCACACAAATAATAATATATCCAGAAAACATTACAGAAATCTTTGGAAGGACACAGAAGCTGTACATGCTGGTTCTACAGTTTAGTTTCCATGGCAGCCTCCTATGCTGAATATATCTTATTAAACAATATAGCTATCTAATAATCTTCTTAAATATATCTAATTAAATAATGAATTTAGAGCTCCACCAAACTTTTAAAAGTCCTCCTTTAGAATAAAAGACATTCTAAAACTTAATTATTCCAGAATGCTAAGAGCAAGCAGCAGCAGCAGTCCCACATATGTGTATTTATATATAACTTGGGCAAGGAACAACAAATTCATGCGTTTGCATGAGCATCAGTTTTGCTCTCAGATCACTGAAATCGCTCAAACCCCTCTACAGATCAGAGAGAAGAGGCAGCTGAAGGGAGAGGATAAACCAGGTAAGAACCATTTTGTCTTTCCCAGATATCCAGACGTGGAGACACTCGGGATAAGAGGGCACCTTACCCGATCTATTTCACTGTCGTCGATCCCACTCAGATCTAACTCGCCATCTCCCGTATTCTCACCTACAGAAAAGAACACATTTTAATCAGCCACGTTTGCTCAAAATTCATCACAACTCAAGTTTTCCATAGTAATGTAACACTTCAGGATTGTCCTTCAGAGATTTGCATCCTTCCACCTTCATCCAGGAGGTTTAATGTGTTGCTGAGTATTTTCAGAATGGAGGTACACGAACGCACAAATTCACCACACTGAATTAATTTGAAATTCGGGAATCAGCACAGCCTTCTTCAGTGCTAAAAATCTGCCAGAGACTTCCAGTCATCTTTTTTCCCCCCATTTTAATTTACAGCTACAAATGTTCAGCAGGAAGCTGAGGAAACCATTTTAAAAGATGACCATTTTTCTTTCAACATAACAAGAATTTCTCTGTCAGAGCCTATAGGTCAGTAATTTTTCCGTAAATTATGACTTAGAAAGTATCTTCTGTTTTCAGAGAAGCAGCACTGACCACTGAATAACACATCATGCCGACAGTCACATGATGGCTTTCTTCTCCACTTTCTGTAATTACAATTTCACTGCAATTTTGGTAGTTTGGTAGTTATTAAGACTTCTGAAAACAAATTTTTAAATATTCTGTCCATTAAAAAGCATAACAGCACAGAACTGAGGCCTAATTTGGGACTGGTACAGTGTACAGCAGCAAAACCTGATTTTCCACATCACATTAGAGTACTGTAGTAATACGCTATTAATGTATCCAGGTAGAGAAGAAAACAAATTATTCAACAAAGACTTATGCTGGGGAATGAAGCAATCTTCTTGGTCATCTCCATTACATCTTACAAAGATCAAACAAGAGATGACCTAACCGGTTTACTTGCAGAAAAAAAAGGTAAACAAATTAAGTTTCAACAATCTGCAATAACAAATTAAAACCAAAATGATGCAGATCAGTTTGACATCTTCACAATTCCCACTCCCCAGTACTGGTGATGTGCCTTCCCACAAACCAAGATCTTTGAATGGTTTGATTCCCCAGCCTAGTGCTCCTGCACAGCTCTGGACCAGTGGAGGGGGATGGCAGCAGCAGTTCTTTGATCCAACAGCAGCCAATGGCAACCAAACAGTAAAACAAGCAAAGGTTGGAAATACAAGCACTCCCAGAAGATGCAAACAATGCTCTGCCTGGCAAAACTCAGGAGTTTAAAACCAGTTGCCCGAAGTACATGAAATCACAGGGCTGTGAATCCAACCAAAACACCTCATTAGGGATAGAGGCTGAGCTTCCTGAGGTGGTGCAAAGGGTCTGGATGCTCAACTCAACAGACACTGACTGGTATCAGACACCGAGCGCTTACAAATGTCTTTTCAAAATCCACCTTAAACAACCAACAGAAAGTTTTAAACTTTCCACACCACGTCATAAGGAAAATGGGTTTTACCTCCAAAAAAATGCCAAGTCACAAGGAACAGCATAGAATCACAGAATGATAAAATCATAGAATGGTTTGGGTTGGAAGACCATCTCATTCCAAACCCTTGCCATGGGCAGGGACACCTTCCACTAGACCAGGCTGGTCAAAGCCCCATCCAGTCTGGCCTTGAACACTTCCAGGGATGGGGCATCCACAGCTCCTTTGGGCAACCTGTTCCAGTGTTTCACTACCCTCAAAGTAAAGAATTTCTTTCTAATATCCAATCTCAAACCTCTATCAGTTTAAAGCCATGCCTCATTGTCCTGTCACTCCAGGCCCTTGTAAAAAGTCCCTCTCCAGCTCTCTTTAGGTACTGAAAGGCCGCATTTAGCTCACCTGAAGCCTTCTCCTCCAGGTTGAACAATCTTAATTCTCTTAGCCTTTTCTCACAGGAAAGGTGCTCCAGCCCTCCATAACACTATACTTGGATTTTTTCCTAAGATTGTCTCATAAATGCAATACCAACTTTACCAATTCAGATAATGTGGTGCAAATATGACCCAAAAGGCCTTAAGGAACATTTCTCATTGCTGTTACACTTAGAAATTAATTGCACGTTAGTCCCAGGCACCAGATTTACTTTACAACCTCTTTCCCCCAAAATACCTTAGAAGTGTAAAAGATTTTATAACAACTATATAATTGATCAGTACACATGCTTTTCTTCTGGTCTGATCTCTATATAGTGCAGTAAGAGCAGAACTTTCTGCAGCAGTGCCAGCAGCTCCTCATGCAGGCACCCCACTACCAGCCAGGCTGGGATGCAACCACAGGACATGGCCAAGCACTCCCTGGTTTGGAAGGACAGAAAGGAAAAGCAAGGTGACAAAATACACACCTGTGGTTTGCCACCTTTTAATATAATTCACTGGAATTTTTTTTGAAAAGCATAATCATGCAAAGCGTGGAGAGGAATCACCCACAGGAGTGCAGGGTATTCTGGAAAATAGCACTGCACACCTGTCCTGCCAGAGCTGAGATCCCAATTTTCAGTTTGGTTTACCTTCACAAACACAGGATTTATTTTTCTTCCATATTCGTTGCACCAGGTAAACTGAGCTGTCCACACCCTCTGCACAGGCTTGGAATTAGGGACAAAGAAAAAGGGAGCCAACCTTGAAAATCATTATTAAGTTCTGAAAATCATAGGTTAGAAAACCAAAATTTGGAAGTGGTGACAGAACTGCTCAACTTCACATAAAATTGATCCCAATATTATTTGTTATAAAAACTGCCAAAACATCTTATATATCCCACTGAAATCAAGCTGCCACTGCTTTTCATCATTATACACCTTGCTCTTCCTATACCCTGCTATATTTTTGGATCAGAGGTTTAAAATTTAATGTGTCACAGTACAGTAGGTGTCTGTTCCCTTACACAGCCCTAACATGCCAGACTGAAAGTGATGTAATTTCAGGCACCATGAACAATTTCACTTGTCATTTCAAATATAACTTGTTACCGAATTAGGTGCTAGTTTTTCTCATTGCATCAATTAGCAACAGGGATGGAAAACTCATTCTCCAACTGGTAAATTGTAGAGAAGAATCCAGAAGTTACATGTAATAAGCATTTCTTAGACCCCATAACAGCAGTGGAGGGAGTAATTGCAGGATATCCCCCTGCCTGCAAGTTGTCCTTTTTCCTGCCAAAGCGATAGGCATTCATTAAATGGGTTTTTCAGAAGAGAAGGTGCCTTCAAATCCTTAGTTTAATGCTTTAGCTGAGGAAAAAAAAATTTGTTTTGTTACAGAATGCCAATTCAAAACAGAACACATCAATTTTGATAAGAAAATTTCCATGGCAATCGTTTCCAACAGGAGTAGACCCTACCTGTCACAGATATCCGTCTGCTTGATGCTACACCAGCTCACTGCAGGGCATGGAAACTAAACCCCTTGCTTTTTTATATACCAGAAAAATCTTCCCAGCTGCTAAACTTCTCAAAACAATTTCTAAATGATCATTTTCTCTTTTAATAAAAGGGTCAAAGTGAAATGTTCGACGAAATGAAAACACAGATGTGGCCAACATCTGGTCCAGCCTCTTAAAAGCTTATTTAAAAGCAGTAGCATCACGTGGCACAGCTCTGAGACATCACAGATTTCTTCTGTTAAGGAAAACAACCACTTTACTGCAGGACACAGGCAAAAAAATAAGTTGGGCATTAAAAACAACACCCCTCTCACCCTCCCCTACAAATCCAGTTGTTAAATGAAAGGACCATCAGGAAGAGTGCAAAGCAAGACAGCGAGGACCAGCATATTCCATCCTCACCTAACATCTCTGTAGCAAGGAGAGGAGGACAGGCACTTCTAGAGCTTTCCATCAAGGTACTGAATCAGCCCCATTCATAACACTTAAAACCATCAATCGCCCCAGCCAGCTCCCCAAATATTTAAAAATAAACTCTCCCCCAAAGCCCTCTCTTTACAGCCTTTTAATGTCTTTCCAAGTGACTCCAGTAGACACAAGGGCTACAATCAGACACTGGGGATTAGGTTTGTAAACCTGTAGGATTATTTACTGTTCTTGTCATTACTAAATGCACACTAAACCCTCTTTTAACACACCGTCTCCCCCACTCCCTACCTCTGTGCAGCTAGTTAAATGTATACACAGCACACTATTATGGGGATTTATTACAGAAGAATCATTCCAGCCGATATATTTTAAACCCCACATTTTTAAAAACAGCCACATGAAGAATGTGTTTTTCTGTTTCTATTACAGGAGGCAGTACTATTTATTGCTCTGCCCAGATAAGAGGATTTCCTTACAGACAGAAATGGAGGCTGAACACTTCCCAGGAAATCCTCCAGAGCAGATATAATAGAAGGCACTTGGTGCTCTGGTCCCATGCAGCAAATATCCCTTCATCACACAATTTCATAGCCAAAAGAGTTGAAACAAAGAACCCTTCCACCTATTCAGCACAGCACCAGATGCTAAATACTTCCAGTATTCAAGGAATACTTTGGGGCTAGGGCACAACAAACCCTGAAAAGAGTTGGGAGATGCTTTTTCAGCTACAAAAACACTTAAGCAACAAACCTGAGCCCAGGGTATCAGAAACAGTGGGATTGACTGCTGCTCTCCAGAGAGGGATTAAACCCAACAGGAGCCACAGAAAGCTCCTGCAGATCCTCACAGGGATCAAATGGGGCAGAAATACTTTAGCAGCCCAAACTGATGAGCAGTGCCTGTGCCACTCTGGGAGCTGCAAGGAGTGCGAAGGGAAGGAAGGTGGTAGCTTAGCATCAAAAAAGGCACTGCACAACTGTGCCAGAATATAATTGATTAGCTGATCAGAGGGGACACGAACCCATCTGGAAGGGAAAATAACTGATTTACCGAGGGGCGTGAAGAGAACAGTCATTAAAAGTGGGTAACTGGGAGGGGAGCGGCAGCGGTGCCAGGGAGACGAAGTGCAGTAGAGATCGGGGAGGGAAGAGAAATGGATGTGAAAATGCTGCAGCAGCAGCAGCAGTGCAGGATGAAGTACGAGGATTGATGGTGTGCAAATGAACACACCATGCACCAAGGCGTGAGCACAGTCCGTGGGGCCGCATGAGCAG